CTTCAAGGATTATTGGCCGAACGTATGGTTTTGTGGTAATAAATATTATATTTTTGCAAAGCAAGAAACGACCCCATAGACAAAGCTGTATGTAAGTCGTGGAGTATGAATTGGCTCATTTGAAGACTCACTCCGCAATTTTGCAAGTCACGGACAATGTAGCCTAAATGAGAATTCGTAGGTGCTTATTGACCTTTTATGGTTAGTGTTGGTGTGAAGAAGTAAAATATCCCGGAAAAGCTCTGAAGGACCCTCCCCAGCTTTGCAGCTGCACAAGCAGCGAAGTCCGAGAGGAAGAGACATTGAGCGCAAGGCTAGACAACGGGTTGGCAATTGAGCGCACAGTCGCAAAATCGATAGGGGCGAAAGAATTCGCTACGAAAAGCTATGGGCGGCCGTTCACTCCATTGGGTGGAGACCTACACTTGTCACAACCCTGTGGCGGCATTGCTACGCACATCACACCTGCGAAGCTTACCACTCTAAGCGGTTACGAACACGGTGCTCGTTGTGCATAGGATAGATGCCATCTGCTAGATAATTGCAGAATGTGCTTTCAACAAAAAGTTCCAAAATTTCGTCCACTAATCTCCTTCGCTTCCTATAAAGAGTAAAACTTCAACTTTCATACCTCTTCCAAATGCGCATAGATAGAGTTGAAAAATGAAATCCATGACGCAGACGGGTAGAATGAAGTACAATAATCAATGAATAATTCTTTTTTTCTTGCAATGGTTGTAAGTTTCCCCAGAAACTAAGAGCTCTCGAACTTTCTTTTAGCAGTTAGGACTTTCGATATTCCTTCTTCATAGAATTTATGCAAAAATGGATAACGTATAATCAACAAAAAAATGAGTATCAGGACTAACGAGTGCAGCACACCGTAGCATTTAACAACCAGAGAAAACAACTTATAACAAAGTAAACTTAACATATAATTTTAAGAGCGAGGTGTAGCTTCATCGGACAAAGCAGACGGGTTTTCATTGCGTCGATTGATAACGAAAAGATCTGCGATTTCCTTGATGTCCTCATCCTAACAAAGTAATAAAATCATCGTCAACGATAATTATGTTTGTAATATCCGGCACATCTTACTCCCCATTTTTCAAAACATACACCGTATTTTGCTCGAAATGTCAGGTTTGGGTGAAATTAAAGTCTCCGGGGGTAGTTTGCCCTCATGAACACGACCCGGAGCCAAAACGCCTAACACTCAAGCCGAGTGGATGTGAGATTCGAGTTTGTGGGATCAAAGCAGGTATGACAAGACAATCGTAATCCGCCGCGTTGTTAGCGCCGCACGTGCAATGTTGCGCCTGCCAATGCTGACTTTTCGCAAGTCGCAGATGGCGACAATAGACAAAGTATGACCGAATACATATTTACGATGTCGTAGCATATATCGGATCCGGTGGTGCAGCAGGCAGGCTAATGCAAATTCAGAAAATGCCGCTCTCGTCGCTGGGCGCCGCAAATTACTGCTCGATTGTCTTGACCGTCTCCCGGTCAAAGTACTTCAAGGGACAAACATTGGTCAAATCTTCTTCCTTCGCAAAATTTCGGTCCAGATTAACTCGCCTTTTGAAAAGCAAGGAAATAAAGGAAAGAAATACAGTATAATAATATCTCCTCACCTCAACAATATCGCGACCACTGACTTGGGCATGTATCCGTGCCGGTGTTAGCAGCTGTGCTACGGCTCTGAAATAGGATTAGTATTTTCTATGTAAGCACTCGAGGACTAGGTCACAAACCTCATCGAAGTTTCGTGAGCAAGATCTGCAACAATTTTCAAGCAGGAAGGTGACATATTTACATGTTCAGCGGCAGCTCGGATAGAGATTATCTGCAATCATAGACAACGTTGAAGATTTGGTGCGAGAAACGAGCATGTTTGAGAAACAGACACATCTGAACAGACATTTGACTACTTGAGTTGACCTATGCAATTTTTCTCTAGGCATAGAATCAGCTACCTGCTCTGACAATGAGCTATTAACAAATACGTACAAAAAATATACATACCTTTTTAAGTTCCTCTACAGAATACTCAATGGTTGGTACGATAAGAACCCTGTCAAGAAGATCCCGAGGCATTCCGTGCGGTGACGTCTCCTCCGAACCCCTGATAAATGTTGCAACTATTCAAAAAGAAATGCTTAAGGATGGACGAGATTAGCTCACCTGATCTTGCAAACTCCTCTGTTGGTGGCAAAAATCACAACAGGGCTGATAGTGCTTTCGAGAGCTCGATGAAGATAGGTGAAGCATTCCAAATCGAGCATATGCACCTCATCAATGAACAACACTCCTGGCATCAATTCGGCTACCCCCTGTAAAGCATAGTGAGGTCTTAGGGCCATGTAACATAGCATAAAGTTGCTTTTGGAATGAAGAAAGATATCTGGAGAAGGCGTTCAAGCTTCTGAGACTACCCAATTTTTGCGCCACTAAAAAGCCGCCCTCGTACTTTGCGATTTTAGAGAATCCGCTAAGAAGAAAATAACCGACAACGAAAGACATTCGCATAGATCTGCAGGAACTACAATTCTGAAGATCGAGAGATTGTGCACCAAGGAATAGATGGGAACTGATTGACTCAGCCGAAAGGCCAATCAATCCCCCGATTCCGTCGCGTGTTCTCCGAAATCTCAGATTTTCTTCATGTGCAATAATCAATCGGTGGCGTTTTGGACAATAATACCTATGCACTGAATTACTTATTGGGATGCCAGGGACTTTGGGCGGACCCCGCGTACAAGGCGTTTTTGAGCCTTCCGGCCCAGCCGTTTTGAGCGTTTGCTTTAGTTTGAGCTTTTCGCCACGCAGTAAGTGAACCGATACATTACGGCTAGCATCGACACCCCTACACTTTTCTAGGTCGCCTTCAAAACGCTGGCCCGATTACGCTCAAAACGTGTACAGAGCAATAGTTGTAACGCCAGTCAAGACGATTGTGTGACGTCAGCAGGTTAGCCATCTTGTGGCGATTGCCCACAAAATTTGCTAGTTTCCTGGCGAGTACTCAACGCCGCCAGCATTTCTACGGTAAACTGCACTGATCAACAATGTCCGAATGTCCAGGCAAGCGACATTTTGACAGAAAGACATTAAACTACCTGGGGGGGATTAATGTAATCATTGACCACCGTTGCTTGAATTTCGCTGCCCGGAGTTATCTGGAATTGAACGCATTTGTTTTCTCAAAACTATTATGACTAAAAAGGGCATAGACGCGTAGACCTGTGCATCTGGGTGAGTCAAAGGATAGAACTAGAACTAACCTGTAATTTCAGTCTTTTTCGATTTGAAAAGTTGACTAAACATAGAGCTGAGATTTCCTTGCTGTCCTTGAGGACGAGCGTTGGCAATGTCGAGGTCGTGCAATGTGATATCCTCAAGAAAAAGAAAAGATGATGAACAGTTTTGTGAAAGGCACTACAAAAGTTTCATTTTGAGAACACCAGCAAGTATACAGACTTGATGAACAAAGTGTGATTGCCTATCTAGGAGCCTCATATAAATATAAAATTCCTGATAGTATCCCAAAAACAAAGCTGAATAATTGTGTGAAGGAAAAGTAGCATTCAAAAACAGGACCAGCAGTTTCATAGCTATCGGAAACCTGGAAACAAAAAAAAAGTTCCCTCACCTGAACAAGCATCTTTTGGCTGTGAACATCGCCTTGGGAAGAGGGATAAACTCATCGCATTTTCAATATCAAACTCCCCCGATGCCAATAAGCGTCGCAACGACCAAACCGCTTTTAAAAAAAGTTCAATCATAAGGTATTACAATTTATAGTGGATTAACTTAACAATGGTTGAGCCAACGTGAATAAAAATTATTGTTGGGAAGTCCTAATCCGGCTGGGAGATTCTGTCTAGATGTACAAGTACGCTAATGCATTCAAGTCTCAAAAAAAATACTTCCTCAGAATTCCTACTCACTCATCTTCGGGAAGGCCCTTGCCATGTGCGAGGTGGATGGATCCGCACCTACAGTATCGCTCGACTTTCTTCGCTTAGAAGTAACGGAAACGGGGCTGAAGGGCAAGTGATATCCCAATGCCCTCCCACACACCTCCCGCGCTATTGTCAAGGCGCAGCACTTTCGCCAATACCAAAATCCCGTAGCGAACGCACAGTGAGAACCACAGTGAGAGGACGCAGACAAGTAGCGTGCTCACCTTGCGGCAACGTGGGAGGAATATGTAAACATCGCCAGCAGTGGTCTTCATTATGATAAAATATGAAATTCTACAGTCAGTTGGTTATTCACCCTCATTACCCTACAGCCCAGCTTCCGTGCACTTTTGAGCGGAGAAAGTGATACGCTACTGTAGCAGCGGACTTAGGAACCACGGAGGTGAGGGAATAGTTTGTCTTCAAGGCAAGAGAACGTACCTTAACGGCGCCGCTGTTGGCCTCAATGTAGATCACATCACCGATCTCAACTTTTTGTTTGAGAATACTGTCATAAATGCTTGGATCAAGTTTCAGCTGTTTGCTTCCCTTTGCAGTCTTCAGTGAGATGACCAGATGTGAGATCGTTTTTCCTGAACAAAATCGTGATCAATGGAAACTAGGAGAAAAGACAGATGAGGAAGTTCTGCAGCAGCGCGACCATGCCAGGTCATGTATATTCTTCTGCATTCTTCCAGCAAATAGAGGAAGGACCTATGAACCCATTCTAAGGTTTCGAAGAAACGTTTCAAGACAATAGACAAGAAATTCATGATGAGGGACAGGGCTACGGTCTCCTCAGCTACGGCGATGCTATTAAAAGGACGCAGTTCGGCGACGGGGAAGGGAACAGTTTGCACTTTCGTTGTTTCCTCTTGTCGTGGCGAGCCATGAATTTTAACTTGTGAGATCGTGCGAAGCAATGAAGTGATACCAGTTACAGTTTGGAGATACACTGGGTCGATTCTTGTGATGAATACCTGTCAACTATAGTAAAGCATGAACATGGCAAGGGGAAGCAGCAAAAGTGCAAGCCCCCCCCCCCCCGAGTGCAATGCCGGCCTCCCACCCCCCACCCCCTTCTCACCGCCCACATAAAAATAGTTAATGGAAGGAAACAGTCAAGAGTCATAATGAAAAATGGTAGCTCAAAGCTATCACAGGTCACTGCACAACTTCACTAGTATCATCGTAACATTGCAGCGGTAATACTACCGATTAAAGATACTTTACCGTCCAAAACTCTGGAAAACTATAAGAGTAAGTCACAGTCACATCAAGATGTACAGGAGCACTCACCATATCCACCTAGCGGATTCGCCGTTTCCACAGGAGTGAGCTCAGTCACTTCACCTTCATAAACTTCTTTCTTCTCTTTTACACGCAAGCCTTTAAAACATCCAAACTCATGAAAACGGCTGTTATTCTTTATATGACAAAAATATCACCTATCGCTCTTCGGAAGTTCTCCATAAGAATTTCAGTCTTTTTCACTTCACTAGAGTAGACCTCGGATGCGACGATGGGACAAAAAGGGACCTTGTCTCCCAATTCCTGAGCAATCGCGAGTGCGATCGCTGTCTTTCCTGTAACATCATTTATCCTGAAGCAATACAAAGGTCGAGTAAATCTTTGGTAATTCAGGTGAAGCGAATGTTATTGAAGTTCGGCAGTAAAATATAGACCGCTGACAAAGTAGACAATTCAACAAGATCAGTTTCTGTGGTTTAGATGCAAACAATGAAGTAAGAAAGACATCAGACTGGTAAACACACCCGTTCCTGGTGGTCCTGCAAGAAGTAGTGCCCTTCCAGCCACATTTTTCATTTTGACCAAATCTACAAAGACACCTGCAGCAGTGCGTGCAAGAGTTTGCCCTACAAGTCCTCCCGCCTGCAAAAATTAAACTTTTACACACTCGATAACCAACTAAATTTACTTGAACAACATCTACAAGTTTAACATTGTTCTACACTAGTTTGAAACCCACGTTAGGAAGAGCTTCCCTGGTGACGGGATCAAGTCCCAGACCTTTCACATGGCTATGTGCAGCGACACGGGCTTGTCGCACTGTATGTTCTACCTGAATAACTTCTCTAGGATACAGAACACTAAAAATTATCAAAAATCTTATGGCTTTGTAAACGCAGACCTCATCTACAAAGGTTTTGATTCCGTCTCCTCCTGCAATGGGTCCCTCATCCACCTCCATACCTGTTGAAGGAAATATAGGCACTATTGCACAACAAAAAGCGATCGCGTAAAATGGTAAATCGCACAAATCGAAAGGACTTGTAAAATTGCAGTGATAATGCGGAAATCG